CTACATGTGACCTCCTCCCTGGGGGGTGGACAACAGAAAAGTGGGTGAAGAGAGACGTCGGACAGCGCAAGATATGGCAAAATAACAATTTATAAATTATCAAGGGCTCATAATGGAGGGGGGAGCGGGGAGGGAGGGGAAAAAATGAAGAGCTGATGCCAGGGGCTTAAGTGGAGAGCAAATGTTTTGAGAATGATGAGGGAAATGAATGTACAAATGTGCTTTACCCAATTGATGTATGTATAGATTGCGATAAGAGTTGTACAGCCCCCAATAAAACGATTAAAAAAAGGCTGCTCTTTGTTATTAGCAGCTCAAGACAATTTCTAATTGGTTTAATTACCTCTTGGCAGTTGTGTGCCGTGCCATCGTTTCTAACTCATAGGGATCCTGTAGGACAGAGCAGAACTGCCCATAGGGCTAGAATCTTTGTGGAACAGATTGCTGCGTATTGCTCTTGTAGAGGGGCTGGTGGGTTTGAATTGCTGACTGTTAGGCCAGGAGCCCAAAACACAGCTGCTGCACCACCAGGGCTCAACCTAATTATCTCGTGCAGCCTTAACAGAAATACCACGTGTGGGTGGCTTCAAAAACAGACACGTATTCTCACAATTCTGGAGGTTAAAAGTTTGCGTTCAAGGCATAGCTGGGGTGGGGTGGGGGCAGGCAGGGTCCTTCCTTGTTGGGTGTCCCCGAAGCTGTTGGGAATTCCTTAGAATTTCTTGGTGTTTGCTTCCCTCTGTGCTTGTGTGTCCACTCTGTTCGGTTTATAAGTCAGAACGGATTCAGTGTGAGACTCACTCTACTCTAGTCCGATCTTACTAACATAACAAAAAATTCTTTCTAAACAGGGTCATATTCATAGGTATAGGAGTTAGTATTTCAAATGTATATTTTGGGGGGCACGTTAAATCCATAAGCTTAGTGGATATAGGAAGAAATCTTCCTTGGGGAAAATTATTTCGTCTAGTGTCTGTTTCTCAGAGTTGAGGGGTAGAGATGATGCTCTTGGAGGTAATGAGATGCTGTCAGAAGAAATCAAATAGAATGGCTAAGGGAGAAAATCCTGTAGCTAAAAAGATCAAGAACTTTCCTGCTCACTGCAATTAAGTTGAGAAGGACGTGCAGGGAATGCCACCATAATACAGAATGCTGGCGGAAATATCAACAGGATATATCAACAATCACTGTTTGGTGATTTCTCAATAAGCAAAACATAGAATTACCCTACGAGGCAATTCCACTCATACATAAATACTCCTGAGAAATGCAAACTTGTACATACATTTGCTTAGGGAGACTGGTGGCCGAGGCATCTCCTCCTGAAAGCAGCCTTGACATCCTTATTCCTCAGGCTATAGATCAGAGGGTTCAGCATGGGAATGACCAACATGTAGAAGACAGAGACGACTTTGTTCTGTTCCATGGACTCTCGAGAGCTTGGCTGAGTGTATATGACAGTGATGGTGCCGTAGTAGAGGGAAATGGCGGTGAGATGAGAGGCACAGGTGGAGAGGGCTTTGCTCTGGGCCTCTAGGGAGTGCATCTTGAAGATGGTCATCAGGATGTAGGTGTATGAGACCAGGATAACAGTGATGGTCAAGAGAATAATTAGGGCAGAAGATGAGAAGATGATGATCTCAACCTCAGTAGTATCTGCACAGGCAAGTTGGAGGACAGGAGGGATGTCACAGAAATAATGGTTAATGACATTGGGGCCACAGAAGGGCAGCTTGAAGATGTTCCCAGTTAGCACCGCTGCAAAAGTAATGGAAGCAGCATAGGTGGCTGCCACCAGCCTGACACATAGACGTTGGGACATGATGCTGTGGTACAGCAGAGGGTGACAGATGGCCGTGAATCTGTCGTAGGCCATGATGGCCAGGAGGAGACACTCCGCAGTACCATGAAGAGTCATGAGAGCCATCTGGACAGCACAGCCTACAAAGGAGATAGACTGGCCTGAGGTAAGGAGGTTCTCCAGAAGCCTGGGGGCGTCCACTGTGGAGAAGGAGGAGTCTATGAAGGAGAGGACACTCAGAAAGAAGTACATGGGTGTGTGGAGCTGTGGGTCTGCGTGGATCAGGGTGATCATGCCCAGGTTGCCCACGAGGGTGACTGAGTAGATGAGTAAGACCAGCACAAAGAGGACGCCCTTGAGCTCTTCCTGCTGTGTGAGCCCCAGCAGGAGGAACAGAGCGATTTGGGTGCCATTCTCTCCCATGAGCGCCCGCCACTGCAGAGAGATCAACAGAAGACACGCTGGGACCTGACAGGTTTCTCCCTGACAGCCCCTCTCCCATTTCCACCTTTCTTCCCCCCTGTGAAATTATGCATAAGAAAACATGCTCTCTCCATAATTTCTACACACAGTCCTGCAATTCCCCGACACCGATTACTGCTTCCATGGGTGCAGCCCATTCTATCACTTCACCATTCTTATTTTATTTATTTAAAAAAAATCATTTTATTAGGGGCTCATACAACTCTTATCACCATCCATCCATCCATACATCAATTGTGTAAAGCACATTTGTACATTCATGGCCCTCATTGTTCTCAAAACATTTGCTCTCCACTTAAGCTCTTGGCATCAGCTCTTCATTTCCCCCCCTCCCTCCCCACTCGTCCCTCTCTCACGAACTCTTGATAATTTAGAAATTATTATTTTGTCATATCTTGCACTGTCCGATGTCTCCCTTCACCCGCTTTTCTGTTGTCCGTCCCCCAGGGAGGAGGTTATATGTAGATCCTTGTAATCGGTTCCCCCTTTCTACCCCACCCTCCCTCCACCCTCCCAGTATAGTCACTCTCACCATTGGTCCTGAAGGGATCATCTGTCCTGGATTCCCTGTGTTTCCAGTTCCTATCTATATCAGTGTAGATCCTCTGGTCTAGCCAGATTTGTAAGGTAGAATTGGGATCATGAAGTGGGACGGGGGGTGGAAGGGGAGGAAGCATTTAGGAACTAGAGGAATGTTGTATGCTTCATCGTTGCTACATTGCACCCTGACTGGCTCGTCTCCTCCCCTCAACCCTTCTGTAAGAGGATGTCCAGTTGCCTACCAATGGGCTTTGCATCTCCACTCTGCCCTCCCCTCATTCACAACGATATGATTTCATTGCACCATTCCTAATACAAACTCAATGCCCCTAAAGCAAAAGAAGCTCTCCGCTCCCTACCACTCCTGCTAATCACTAACAACACGGGGGTTTCCTGCATGTGCTTGTGTCAGGCAAGCATGAGCAGACTTTGTGTTTATTTCACTTTGCCGGATGTTTTCCTGGGTCATCAGGTTGTGGCATACATCAGGGCTTCATTTCCCTTGATGGCTGAGTAGTACCCCGAAGCTCCCCCTGCAGGCCCCCGACCCCACTTTGGGGATAGAAAACATTTGAAAAAATTGAACCAATTCAGTTGCGTGGATGACAGTCTTCATGTTGTACAACCATCTCACCCTCTCCTCTGAGTGGCTCCTCCTCCATGAACATCAAGTCCCGGCCCCCCTAAGGTTCCTTCGCAATCTTTCAGGTTGCCGTTGTCAGTTGGGATGGTTCTTACAAAAGGACAATGCTGGGGGCAGGCATTTTTTAAACTACACAGGCTAAGCTATTGTTTGGTTTTAAGAAGAGTTCAGGAACATTTTTGGTTTAAGGTTGAAAGATGATTTCAGAGCAATTGCTTCCTGGGGTCATCCAGCCTCCAAGGCTCCAGAAACTCTAGAGCAGCAGGTCTCAACCTGTGGGTCACGACCCCTTTGGGTGTTGAACAACCCTTTCACAGGGGTCGCCTGATTCATAACAGTAGCATAAGTATAGTTATGAAGTAGCAACAAAAATAATTTATGGTTGGGGGGGGTGTCACCACATGAGGGACCGTATTAAAGGGTTGCAGCATTAGGAAGGTTGAGAACCACTGCTCTAGAGTCTATGAGAATTTGAAATTTTGTTTTGTGGCTCTCCCTTTAGGATCAGGATTCTTCTATGGATCTTTGATCAACATGTTCAGTCATGGGAGCTGGTCACCCTCCAGGTCTTTGGGACTCCTGGCAACACCGGAGGCAGTTGTTCTGAGGTCACCAGCCACATATTCCATACCCTCCTCCCTTCTGCTCCTGTTGCTCCTTCTCCCTCAGCTACTCCGGGTGATCCTGAAGTCCTTTGAACACTCCCAGAATGGACAGTACTGTGGGAGTGGAGAGGGGACATGAGTCAGTTGGACGTCTACGATGAGCCACACAATGCTTTCGCTCATCTTCTCAACAGCGATTTAAACCTCACGCACCCCTTCCGATTTCAATATCATGCCTATCGATATTTTCTATCATTATCAACTTGCTCAGAGTTTGAGACCCTATGTATAAGGAAACTAAGAGCAGTCTCTCACTGCTATCGAGTTGATTCTGACCTAGAGCAACCCTATAGGTTAGGGTAGAACTGCACCTGTGGGTTTCCAAGACTTTAAATCTTTAAGGGAGTAGAGAGATTCATCTTGCTCCCGCTGAGAAGCTGGTGGTTTTGAATGGCTGAACCATAGTTAGCAGCTCAACAAATAACCACTAGGCCTTAGGAGCTCCTTAGCCTATTCTAATAATCATATGCTAAGCAAGTCGCGTTTGAGTGAGTGACCCCAATTGTGTCAGAATATACCTGTGCTCCCTAAGGTTTTCAATGGCTGATTTGAGGGAAATAGATCAACTGGCCTTTCTCTGGAGGGGCTTTTTGGTGGACTTGAACCTCCAAATTTTTGGTTACAGCCCAATAAACTACCACGCTGGAATTCTCTCTGCTCTGAATGCCGGTTTCCTTCTACTCATCTGGGCGCTAGTGCTGGTGCTTGATTTTGTAGAGTTTGGGGCACGGTTGATGAGGAAGGGGAGGTAAAAGGGCCTAAGACCCTCCTGGTGACTGGATTCAGCTCTTCCGCCCACTTACCTGTCAAGGAGCAAGGGCCATCCCCTCCAGAAGCTTGCTGATGAAGACCACTTTGGGCTTTTTCTCTTCTGTTTCCATGGGCCAGCTTTTTCCCAGAGAATTCCTCAAACAGCCTAACAAAGCTCCGAGAGTCCTTTTTGCTACGAAGGTGTCTCTCTTCAGATTTATCTGTTTTTTTGGTTTTCTCATCTCATCCTAGAGTTCAGAAATGCACCTGTGGGAATTTGGATCTACTTCTCCTGGGAGCACACCTGGAGCCTCAGGTTGTCTCTGAGGGATGCTGGAGAGACCTGTGTGACCTTATCTAGGATCTCTGAGGAGCCAGAGGTCCTACTGCCAGGACAGATCCTTTTAATTTGCAGTGCCCTTACCCTGAGGGGGGCTTCTATTTTCAGCTTAATGAGCCTCAAAAGGTTCTCAAGACCACAAGGTACACAGGAACACACATCAGTCTTTCCTCCAGGTCTCACGGTAATTGATTAGAAGTCCTAGTGATATTGATAATCAACATTTGAGCGCCTCTGAAGATCTAGGTCTAAGGCTTCCTCAACTACTGTTTCCTTTCAATTTAGAGCATCTCTGGGAAGCATGCTATGTGTCTTCTTTTTTCTTATATACACAACAAAAAGACTACACCATGATTACTTTATTCACTGAACTATATTGAGGGCTCCTCTCTCCATCTTAAAAAATAACATACAATCCCCCTTGAAAGTGGTTTTACTATATTTGCACAAAATAACACATTTGTTGTAAGACATCTAAGCAACACAGAAAAGAACCAAGAATAAAATTAGTGTCACCTAAAATCTCACCACCACAGAAACTGGGAGTGGGGACATTCTTCCTGATGTAAATTTCTCAGGGCCACGATGTGTATAATTTTCCATAAATAAGATCATACTAGGCAAGCGATTATGTCATATCTTTTTTTATTCATTTTATTGGGGGCTCATACAACTCTTATCACAATCCAAATCCCACCCCCCAAAATAAACCCCAAACCTCAGTGAGATCTCATGAACATTTCCCCATATTAATAATAAATAAAACCCACATCATCATATTTAAGGGGTGCAACTCTTAAATTTTGTGTTTGTGTGTCATCATTTACCTGGTTTGGTTGGTACATAAGGCATTTCCAACGTCTCACAGTTATACATAACTCCCTGATAGGGAACAGTTCTAAACCACCAGTCGCTCCAAGGGAGAAAGACCAGACTTTCTACTCTTGTAAAGAGTTACTGTCTTCGGGGAGGATGGACAAAAAACAAGTTACAGTCTTGAAACTTAGAGGAAAAGTTCTACCCTTGTCCTATAGGGTTGCTATGAGTTGGCATCTACTTGATGTCAGTGATTTTTTTTTTTTTAGGTATCCCTTGGGATGAGGTATGGGGCTGGAGGGTGAAGTCCAATTAGAAGAGGTTGGAGAGACTGCCTTTCCATGCCATCGAGTCAATTCTGACCCATAGTGGAGACTTATAAATACTTGTAGTAGCCTTTAGTCTCATCTTTCTTCCACAGAGCAGGTGATAGATTTGAACAGCTGTCTTTGTGTTGAACAGTCTCTAATGCTTACCCGCAACTGCACCATCTGGGCTCTTTTTCCCAGGCCAGGAAGGAAGAGATTGAATTTGTCCTTAGGGAGCTTGGCACTTGGGCTTCACAACCCCTAGGGAAATCACTGGGGACAGCAAAGGGCCTTATTAAGCAAATAATTTGCTTGTGCAAAACGAACTCCCTAGACTACTGATCTGGGAGGGAAAGTCTGCAGATGAGGCAATGGATTGCCCAAGCTTCCTGCAGGTAAAAGTGCTTATTCACTTGGGAGAGACAGACTGAGTCTCTCCATAAGGCAGCACATTGTCCTCTGGCCTTTCCCACTCTATTGCAACCTACACAAGTTCCTTCCTCCAACATGACCCCTTCATTGTACCCAAACTGGTTGTCATCTCCTTATTCCCACTCT